CCGACCCTTGTGGCACCCCACAAGTTAGGGGCCTTGGGGCCGACCTCTGCCCCCCTGCCAATACAGACTGCGTGCGGTCGGTGAGGAAGGAGGAGAACCACCGCATAACCGTGCCTCCCACTCCCAACTCAACCAGACGCCGCAGCATGATACCGTGGTCCACCGTATCAAAAGCCGCTGAGAGGTCCAAAAGAACTAGAACTAGAACCACCATGCTCACTTAATGACTGCTGCATGTGCGTTGTCACATGGTGACCCATTTTACAACCATCAGAACTTAAGACTGAAATTGCATTTTCTTTTTTTTAATAAAATTTTTATTGATTTTTATAATTAAATAACAAATACCAATATGATGCATTTACATACACAAGCAGAAAAAAAAAATACTCCAAGTCAATACATTTTCGGAAACGCTTGGCGGACCCCGCCTTGCCTCCACCCTCATCCACTTTCCTATCCTTCCTCCCTCTAACCCACAACCTCTCCTCCTTACCACCTACCTACATCCCATCCCTTTCTAACCATCTCCTCGAGTGCAATTTGGGATACCAGCCGAGCATCTCCTCTTGTCAATACAATTATTGTTTACCTATAACATGTAAATACATCAATTTTTATAATTCCCCTAATCCCCTTCCCGCCCTGGACTTCCCGGAACCAAATACAGGACGAAAACACTTCCCATTCCATATCTAAATTACAATTTAACTAAACAAACATAATACAATCAATATATACATACTTTAACTCTAATAAAGCAATAAGTAAAAACCAATATATCTACTCAAAAACTATATGATATTTATTCACTCCATACTTTCTCTAAATATAATCTGTCCACCTTCAACATTTGAGCTCAAAACAGTTTTTAAAGATCTAAATATCTATCAAACATCTTGTATTATTTTTTTTCTTACATTTTATACTTAAATTTTTCCTTCACTTTCTTCACTCTCAAGTCAATACTTTCAAGAAAATCTTAAGTCAATACTTCCTTCTTCAAAGCTGGAAAAGTAAAATAAAATCCCAATCTTAAGTTTATCAAATATTTTAAATCTTTCAAAATACTATAAGTTCTTTACAAACATATAATCCTTTTTATATTATTTCAAATATTTATTTATTTATTTATTTATTTTTTGGATTTATATCCCGCCCTTCTCCCGTAGGACTCAGGGCGGCTGACAATCTATTTAAAATACATACAAAACAATACAAATTTAAAATTAATTAAAAGGAATATTTAAATATTTGTCAAATTTTAAAATATAATTAAAACCCCCCTAAAAATTACCCTAGGCCAGTCCTGCAA